TCTTATTCTACTATATCTCTGTGTATAAACCACTTCTTATTCTACTATATCTCTGTGTATAAACCACTTCTACTATATCTCTGTGTATAAACCACTTCTACTATATCTCTGTGTATAAACCACTCTTCTATCTCTGTGTATAAACCACTTCTACTATATCTCTGTGTATAAACCACTTCTTATTCTACTATATCTCTGTGTATAAACCACTTCTTATTCTACTATATCTCTGTGTATAAACCACTTCTTATTCTACTATATCTCTGTGTATAAACCACTTCTTATTCTACTATATCTCTGTGTATAAACCACTTCTTATTCTACTATATCTCGGTGTATAAACCACTTTTTATTCTACTATATCTCTGTGTATAATCCACTTCTTATTCTACTATATCTCGGTGTATAAACCACTTCTTCTTCTTCTATATCTCTGTGTATAAACCACTTCTACTATATCTCTGTGTATAAACCACTTATTCTACTATATCTCTGTGTATAAACCACTTCTTATTCTACTATATCTCTGTGTATAAACCACTTCTACTATATCTCTGTGTATAAACCACTTCTTCTTCTACTATATCTCTGTGTATAAACCACTTCTTCTACTATATCTCTGTGTATAAACCACTTCTACTATATCTCTGTGTATAAACCACTTCTACTATATCTCTGTGTATAAACCACTTCTTATTCTACTATATCTCTGTGTATAAACCACTTCTACTATATCTCTGTGTATAAACCACTTCTTATTCTACTATATCTCGGTGTATAAACCACTTCTTATTCTACTATATCTCGGTGTATAAACCACTTCTTATTCTACTATATCTCGGTGTATAAACCACTTCTTATTCTACTATATCTCTGTGTATAAACCCGGCAGACTGCACCTCCAGGGTACGTCACGTCCGGTCCCACGTTTGTTATTCGCACCACTGCCCTGACGTCATATGGAACCCAAGAAAACATACAGACCTCTGTCTCAGTATACATACACACACTCAGTTTACGTACACACACCCAAGTATACACGCGCACTCAGTATACACACACCCTCAGCATACGTACACACACTCAGTATACGTACACACACTCAGTATTAGGGATGTAAATCGGTGACCGTTTAACCGGTGGTTAACCGTCACAGCGTTAACCGGTCAAAGCTGTCGGTTAAAAAAGAGAAAAGGGGGAGAGGGGAGGTCTCTTCATAACGCTATTTTAAGCCCTATTTGCACGATGTGACGAGCGGGTCCCTATCTAGCTGTGTGCGCCAATGTAACAGTAAACTCTGGGCCGACTCTCACGCCGTACGCGCCACATATGCACGCACACATGTACACGCACCCTCCCTCCATTGACACGTAACATCCACACGCATCATCTCTCCCCTCTGTTACCGCCTGCTAGTTGCACACTGGTGCGGGTCAGAACTACATTGGAGCTTATATTTACACACACATACATACATGTATTGCACACACACACATACATATACACACACACAGACATATACACACATACATACATGTATTGTACACACACACATACCGGTCTGTCGCGCTCCTCTGTGTCACGGAGCCCAAAGCATTCTTGCAAATACACGGCTCCAGTCAAACCACATGGACCATGTGTGTGCTGCTGGTCCTTGGCATCAGCTCCACACACATGGACCATGTTTGTGCTGCTGGTCCTTGGCATCAGCTCCACACACATGGACCATGTTTGTGCTGCTGGTCCTTGGCATCAGCTCCACACACATGGACCATGTTTGTGCTGCTGGTCCTTGGCATCAGCTCCACACACATGGACCATGTTTGTGCTGCTGGTCCTTGGCATCAGCTCCACACTGATCACTTTTAAACTTTAGCGGAGACCTGCGAGACGCGGCTCGTCACTCGCTGCCCTGACCATGTGGACGAGCTGTCTTTTGCTTAAAAATGCTTTAAGCCGCAGCACAGCAGAATGGGAAGATTAAAACAGCAGTTCTCTGTGCGCAAAGGTGCCGAAGCTGTTACGGGTTTTGGTGCCGCTGTCTCGGCTCTGATCCCGTAGAACGCTCAGCTGCACTTATGAAAAGTATGCGGCTCGAAATGGCTGTTATTTCAAAGAACGTGGACTATTTTAAACTACGCGGTTAACCGGTTTCAACCGGTTAATGAGGCTCGGTGGTCGGTCATGAAAATTCATAGTTTTTTACATCCGTACATACACCCTCAGTATACACCACTCAGTATACATACATCCCTCAGTATACATACATCCCTCAGTATACATACACACTCAGTATACATACACTCAGTATACATACATCCCTCAGTATACATACACACTCAGTATACATACACACTCAGCATACATACGTCCCTCAGTATACATGCCTCAGTATACACGCCTCAGTATACACGCCTCAGTATACACGCCTCAGTATACACGCCTCAGTATACACGCCTCAATATACACGCCTCAATATACATGCCTCAGTATACATCCCTCAGTATACACGCCTCAGTATACACGCCTCAGTATACACCCCTCAGTATACACGCCTCAGTATACATGCCTCAGTATACAGTACATCATAATACTGTAGTCCATTTCCAATCAGTCGTATCAAAGTCTCTCTCTCCGGCTGAGAATCTGCTGAACAACAAAAGGAATCTCAGCGTGTTCCCATAATCTCCCTCTTATCCCCCAGACGCCGAGAAAACACCAACGATTTCATCTTTCTCTCATTAAAGTCATAATTAGTGCGTCTGAGCCGGCGGTTCTGCAGGAACAGAATGTGCCTGAGATGCCAGAAGGCCAATACAATCAGCTTGTGCATCGCTTGTCACCACAACAAATAATCAGCAGTGCTTCTCCTCCGCGATAAACGGATTTGGCACCAAACCGTCGGGTAATAACTGCGTCCCCGTCCGCCGCCACGATCGGTCGCCGCGGTTTGAAGTGGTCAGAGAAGCAGACGGCACAAAAGGAGTCTAATTGTTATTGGTTTGGTGCAAAGGTTTTCTGCTGATGGAGGACTGTGGATTTACAATCAATACCGAACACCAGGGCTCTACAATTATTATCAGAGAGCTACTTCTATGCAGCTAAAGAGGCAGAGAGCTACTTCTATGCAGCTAAAGAGGCAGAGAGCTACTTCTATGCAGCTAAAGAGACAGAGAGCTACTTCTATGCAGCTAAAGAGGCAGAGAGCTACTTCTATGCAACTAAAGAGGCAGAGAGCTACTTCTATGCAGCTAAAGAGGCAGAGAGCTACTTCTATGCAGCTAAAGAGGCAGAGAGCTACTTCTATGCAGCTAAAGAGGCAGAGAGCTACTTCTATGCAGCTAAAGAGGCAGAGAGCTACTTTTATAAAAATCTATGCACGACAAAACAGAAGCACACATGAATATACCATAATACTGTAAAACAGAATATTGCATTTGCATTTGTTAAATCTAGATCCTTTGGGGAGCTACCTGATAGCTCCTGCCTTAAAACACTGCCACAGTCTTCTGCACCGGGAAATGTCTATTGCAGAGGTGTCCAAACATTTGATTAAGAGGGCCACTTTAGTTTCACCGGACTAGTCCAGGGACCGGCGTCACAGACTGAAAAACTGTTGTGACTGGTATCGGGCTGTTCTGAGCTTTAAAATAATCTATATGCCCTCAGTCCTGGGTCTACAGCCTCAGTCCTGGGTCTGCAGCCTCAGTCCTGGGTCTGCAGCCTCAGTCCTGGGTCTGCAGCCTCAGTCCTGGGTCTGCAGCCTCAGTCCTGGGTCTGCAGCCTCAGTCCTGGGTCTGCAGCCTCAGTCCTGGGTCTGCAGCCTCAGTCCTGGGTCTGCAGCCTCAGTCCTGGGTCTGCAGCCTCAGTCCTGGGTCTGCAGCCTCAGTCCTGGGTCTACAGCCTCAGTCCTGGGTCTACAGCCTCAGTCCTGGGTCTACAGCCCCTGGACCCAGGCTGTAGACCCAGGATGAGGCTGTAGACCCAGGACCCAGGACTGAGGCTGTAGACCCAGGACTGAGGCTGTAGACCCAGGACTGAGGCTGTAGACCCAGATAAGTATTGTGTGTTTTGCAGAGAGCAGTAAAACAAGACAATCATATCAAATTCTCAAAGTAATGAGATCATAATGAAGCAGATTGGTTTGTCGTCCTCTTTGTAAACACAGAACCACATCATATTAGTGAGTGGCCTTTAGTCAGGCTTGGACCAGATTAGCTCTGCTCCGTCTTCTTCCAGCGTGTGATTGGATTGGACCAAAGAAGCTGTTATTTCAATCAAGTCCTCTCCGACATTTGTAATCTGCCCCCGTCTCCCCCGTCTCCCCCGTCCACGGCGGTGTCACACTCGCCCATCTCTGGGATCATTCTGTTCCATTATCCGTCCCTCCAGCGGCTGAGCACGTCCAGTGTCTCGTTATTTCCTTTTCAACCTCTCCTCGTCTCCTCGTCTCCTTTCCTACCTCCTCATTATCCCGGTGCAGGTCCTCTCTGACTTCTTGCAGATTACAATCATCCATCTTTCACATCCAGGCGTTAGTGTTCAGGCCGCTACAGTAAAGACACCATGAAGGACCATGTGGAGATTCTGGTTTGTTGGTAAGATACTGCTCTAGTATTTATCTATGTGTAAGAATGAATGCAGTGGGAAGCATTCATTCATGTGTCCCTGTGAGCTGTATTGGACAGACTGTGGACCGGACTGGATTTCATGTTGTTACCATTTAATTTAACTTCAGTGAGTGTTGGATACTTCTGCTACTAATGTAACATAATAATAATCCGTTTAACTTTCTCTGAGTTTACTCTGGTCACTCACATTTGCATATTACATCCTTAAGGCTGTTCAAAGGTCCAGTGTCCTGAATGTTTGTAAAGTCATGGAATAATATGGACATTAATCGCGATATGTTAAGAATGACAAAAATATGGTAATACAATGGAATCCTCACATTTTGCCAGTCCCCAGCCCTGATAACACAGTATAAAGGTCTCGTTCACCTTCCTCTTCCGTGTGGTGAGGACCTGGAACGGCTGGATCTGCTTCTTCTCTCGGTCCCAGGCCACGGCTTCAGAATCCAGAACGCAAGACACCACCGACTCCTTCTTCACCTAAAAAACCAAGGAAAAAACATCAGAAACTGAAAATTAGAGTTTACCCAATTAGGATTTCAGAGAAGAAGAAGAAGAAGAGCGTCGAGGATAAACAAGAGATATTTTTACACTCGGCTGCGAAGGCAATCAGAGAATCTGCTCTCCACAAGACTTCAACTCAATGGGACACTTACCTCAGCTACACAACACACACAAACACACCAAAGACACACACACACCAAACACATACCGAAGACACACAAGAAGAGTCGTGTGTGTTTCCTTTTGGTTGTGCGTATTTAAGTATTTACAATATTCACATTCCTCAGTTTATGGAGACACTTTTGTACTTTGTTATTCCACACACACACACACACACACACACACACTTCTGAAAATCATTTAAATACATGAATAAAAGGCATTAGAACAGAACCTGGGAGAGCTTTAACATGAGGTGGATCTGTCTGAGTCTCTGACAGAACTCTCTGGGTTTGAGCTTTAGAGATAAATCCAAAAGCATCTGTTTTGATCTTGGGGCAGATTTATTGAATCCAGAACATTCTCTCGTCTACAGCCACCTGTCAACATTTTAATTCATTTTTATGTATTTGTTATTGATTGTTTTCTGCCATTTAAAACATAAGTCTAGCATCTGCAATTTCTATGGTAAAGTTACACTCTTTACATAAACAACAGAAATCCACCTGCTGCCTCCAGTGGCTGAAGGGGGTATTACAGACTTTAAAAGATACAAAACACAAACAAATCACTGCACATTCATTTCACACGGAAAGCCAGAAAATAGTTTCACGTTTAAGGACCAGAATAAAGCATATTTCTAATTCCATATTATTTGTAAGCTTGCCTCATTCATCTCAGAGGCTGCTTTGATCTTTTTACAGTCCTCAAAATGACGTGTGTGTGTTAGAGATAAAGGTCCATACAGACAGTGCTTTAAGTCTAAACTGGAGCTAATTCTAACATTAAATCCCGACCACACGTTCCCGCAGTCGTTCCCCTTCGCTTTGCTCTGACGCAGCTGCTTTGGTTCGATGCCCAGACTCTGCCAAAAGCTAAGTGTTTAAAAGAAATGTCAGAGTTTTATCTTTTGGTTAGCGGCTCAGGTCCGCGGCAGACGGTTTACGGCCTCAGATCTACCGCGGCTGGATCTATGGACCACGGCCGCGATGTTCGAGATTAGAGTTCAGATCTTAATTACGACTGTCCTTAGAGCGAGGCGGAGATGGTCGATAAAGACATTTTAAAACACTGGACAAATGCTTCCAGAGTTAAGGCCTTGGATTGGCTCAAGTTTATGTGCAGCGTTTAGGACGATATCGAGGACATTTAACCTCCAGGAAGCAGGATAATGGAGAATAATCTATGGTAGCTACAAACAAACAGCTGAGAGGTGGGGGTCCGCCCTGGGTTCGAATCCGCAAGTAGTTCCGGCCACTCCGGAGCTAGCCACGCTCAATCAACACACTTAAATGTTAATCGGAGAATACTTATACATATACATTCTTCACACACGTGCACGGAGAGTTTCAGAATGTTCCGTTTCTGTTTTCATGACAAAAACACTGATGTAATGCAAGAAAAGGCGATCCCGAAAAACCCGGAAGTAGACACCGGCACATTTTAGGAACATTTGCAGAGGATGGAATTATGGATTTAGGTTAAGTTTATGTTTGGGTCACTCACCGCTGATGTTCAGGATTCTGTGTTCAGTTTTCATGCAGTTCCAGAGAGTTCTAGTTTGGAAGTTGTTAGCCTAACTGTTACTAGCATAGCCACAGGAAAGCCTTTGGGAACTATTTTATTTTCTGTCATTAAACAAACCTTTGGGCATTCCTAAAAGTGGACTGAAGTTTATGTTGTGTGTTCTGTCGGTATAAAGCGGGATAACGTATAGTACGCAGGTCATTATCGGGAAATAAGTACCTTCAGGGAATATACGTTATTCCTTACTTAAAAATGTGGGTATCGGTTCCGACATCTGGTCCCATGGTATGAGCACAAGCTTATGGTATCGACCCGATCCCTGTAACGGTGCATCTCTACCATAAACAAAGATTTTATTTACGATTAAGATTAATGAATCAAGATTTTCTCACAGAAAGTTCAAACACAAGTAACGGAAAACTGATGTAAAGTAAAATACAATATTCTGTTATCTTTAAATAGAAAAGCACCAGTTTCCACAGAAATACAGAAGAGTTTAACAATAACATATCTGCTTTGATACCGTCACAGAAGTGTCTGATGTCAGAGAAACAGACCTGTCTGTCCTCTCTCCTGTCTGTCCTCTGTCTGTCCTCTCTGTCTGTCCTCTCTCTCTCCTGAGTCTGTCCTCTCTCTCTTCTGAGTCTGTCCTCTCTCTCTGAGTCTGTCCTCTCTCTCTCTCCCGAGTCTGTCCTCTCTCCTGAGTCTGTCCTCTCTCTCTCTCCTGAGTCTGTCCTCTCTGTCTCTCCTGAGTCTGTCCTCTCTCTCTCTCCCGAGTCTGTCCTCTCTCTCTCTCCCGAGTCTGTCCTCTCTCTCTCTCCATGAGTCTGTCCTCTCTCTCTCTCCCTGAGTCTGTCCTCTCTCTCTCTCTGAGTCTGTCCTCTCTCTCTCTCTGAGTCTGTTCTCTCTCCTGAGTCTGTCCTCTCTGTCTCTCTCTCTCTCCTGAGTCTGTCCTCTCTCTCTCCCGAGTCTGTCCTCTCTCTCCCGAGTCTGTCCTCCCTCTCTCGGAGTCTGTCCTCTCTCTCTCTGAGTCTGTCCTCCCTCTCTCTGAGTCTGTCCTCTCTCCTGAGTCTGTCTCTCTCTCCTGAGTGTCTCTCTCTCTCTCCTGAGTGTCTCTCTCTCTCCTGAGTCTGTCCTCTCTCTCTCTCCTGAGTCTGTCCTCTCTGTCTCTCCTGAGTCTGTCCTCTCTCTCTCTCCCGAGTCTGTCCTCTCTCTCTCTCCCGAGTCTGTCCTCTCTCTCTCTCCCGAGTCTGTCCTCTCTCTCTCTCCCGAGTCTGTCCTCTCTCTCTCTCCCGAGTCTGTCCTCTCTCTCTCTCCCGAGTCTGTCCTCTCTCTCTCTCCCGAGTCTGTCCTCTCTCTCTCTCCCGAGTCTGTCCTCCCTCTCTCTGAGTCTGTCCTCTCTCCTGAGTGTTCTCTCTCCTGAGTGTTCTCTCTCCTGAGTCTGTCCTCTCTCTCCCGAGTCTGTCCTCTCTCTCTCCCGAGTCTGTCCTCTCTCTCTCTCCCGAGTCTGTCCTCTCTCTCTCTCCCGAGTCTGTCCTCTCTCTCTCCCGAGTCTGTCCTCCCTCTCTCTGAGTCTGTCTCTCTCTCTCTCCCGAGTCTATCCTCTCTCTCCTGTCTGTCCTCCCTCTCTCTCCTGTCTGTCCTCCCTCTCTCTCCTGTCTGTCCTCCCTCTCTCTCCTGTCTGTCCTCCCTCTCTCTCCTGTCTGTCCTCCCTCTCTCTCCTGTCTGTCCTCCCTCTCTCCTGTCTGTCCTCCCTCTCTCTCCTGTCTGTCCTCCCTCTCTCTCCTGTCTGTCCTCCCTCTCTCTCCTGTCTGTCCTCCCTCTCTCTCCTGTCTGTCCTCCCTCTCTCTCCTGTCTGTCCTCCCTCTCTCTCCTGTCTGTCCTCCCTCTCTCTCCTGTCTGTCCTCTCTCTCTCTCCTGTCTGTCCTCTCTCTCCTGTCTGTCCTCCCTCTCTCTCCTGTCTGTCCTCTCTCTCTCTCCTGTCTGTCCTCTCTCTCTCTCCTGTCTGTCCTCCCTCTCTCTCCTGTCTGTCCTCCCTCTCTCCTGTCTGTCCTCCCTCTCTGAGTCTGTCCTCTCTCCTGAGTCTGTCCTCTGTCTCTCTCTCTCTCCCGAGTCTGTCCTCTCTCTCTCTCTCCCGAGTCTGTCCTCTCTCTCTCTCCCGAGTCTGTCCTCTCTCTCTCTCCCGAGTCTGTCCTCTCTCTCTCTCCCGAGTCTGTCCTCTCTCTCTCTCCCGAGTCTGTCCTCTCTCTCTCTCCCGAGTCTGTCCTCTCTCTCTCTCCCGAGTCTGTCCTCTCTCTCTCTCCCGAGTCTGTCCTCTCTCTCTCTCCCGAGTCTGTCCTCTCTCCCGAGTCTGTCCTCTCTCTCTCTCTCCCGAGTCTGTCCTCTCTCTCTCTCCCGAGTCTGTCCTCTCTCTCTCTCCCGAGTCTGTCCTCTCTCTCTCTCCCGAGTCTGTCCTCTCTCTCTCTCCCGAGTCTGTCCTCTCTCTCTCTCCCGAGTCTGTCCTCTCTCTCCTGTCTGTCCTCCCTCTCTCTCCTGTCTGTCCTCCCTCTCTCTCCTGTCTGTCCTCTCTCTCTCTCCTGTCTGTCCTCCCTCTCTCTCCTGTCTGTCCTCCCTCTCCTGTCTGTCCTCCCTCTCTGAGTCTGTCCTCTGTCTCTCTCTCTCTCCCGAGTCTGTCCTCTCTCTCTCTCTCCTGAGTCTGTCCTCTCTGTCTCTCTCTCTCTCATGAGTCTGTCCTCTCTCTCTCCTGAGTCTGCCCTCTCTCTCTCTCCCGAGTCTGTCCTCTCTCCTGAGTCTGTCCTCTCTGTCCTCTCTCTCTCTCCCGAGTCTGTCCTCTCTCTCTCTCCCCCGAGTCTGTCCTCCCTCTCTCTGAGTCTGTCCTCCCTCCTGAGTCTGTCCTCTCTGTCTCTCTCTCTCTCCTGAGTCTGTCCTCTCTGTCTCTCTCTCTCTCCTGAGTCTGTCCTCTCTCCTGAGTCTGTCCTCTCTGTCTCTCTCTCTCTCCTAAGTCTGTCCTCACTCTCTCTCCCGAGTCTGTCCTCCCTCTCTCCTGAGTCTGTCCTCTCTGTCTCTCCCGAGTCTGTCCTCTCTCTCTCTCCCGAGTCTGTCCTCTCTCTCTCTCCCGAGTCTGTCCTCTCTCTCTCTCCCGAGTCTGTCCTCTCTCTCTCTCCCGAGTCTGTCCTCTCTCTCTCTCCCGAGTCTGTCCTCTCTCTCTCTCCCGAGTCTGTCCTCTCTCTCTCTCCCGAGTCTGTCCTCCCTCTCTCTGAGTCTGTCCTCCCTCCTGAGTCTGTCCTCTC